ACACGCACACACACACACACGCATACACTCACATACACACATGCACACACCCACACACACACGCAGACAAAAACACACGCACATGGACACGCACACACACACACACACACGCACAAACACACACAGACACACACACGCGCGCGCACACGCGCACGCGCGCACACGCGCACAACCACACACCCACACGCCCACACACGAACACACCCACACAAACGCACACACGCACAGTGCACACACGCGCACACGCGCACACGCGCACACGCACACACGCACACACGCACACACGCACACACGCACACACGCACACACGCACACACGCCAACACACGCCACCTTCACTCACGGCCACACGCCACACAGCACGCACCACCCGTGCACACGCACAACAGCACACGCACACACACAACGAACACGCGCACGCACACAGTTCCGCGCCCACGCACACACACGCGCACACGCACACACGCACCGCACAACACACGGCACACGCACACACGCAGACATTTTTATGGTCTGCGGGTCTAGAGAGAGAGCCTCTTCCACACACACACACACACACACACACGCACACACGCACACACACACACACACACGCACACACGCACACACGCACACACGCAGACACGCACACACGCACGCGCACGCGCACGCGCAACGCACAACACGCACATCACTAACACACTCATCGACACGCACCACGCACACACGCCACACACGCACGCACACACACACGCGCACACACGCGCACACACGCGCACACGCACGCACGCACGCACACACGCACACGGACACGCACACGCACACACACACACACACGCGCGCTTGCGCGCTTGCGCGTTTGCGCGTTTGCGCGTTTGCGCGTTTGCGCGCACACGCGCACACCCACACACCCACGCACACACACACACGCACACACTCACACACAGGCGCGCGCACACACGCACGCACGCACGCACGCACACAGAAGGCATGAAAGACACACGCACACCACACACACACACGCACACACGCACACACGCACGCGCGCGCGAACGCGCCCACTCCACACGCACACACACACACGCACACACACACATACGAACACAAACAAACGCACACACACGAACACACACACACACACGCACACGCACACACGCACACACGCACACACACAACACGCACACGCGCACACACGCACATACGCACATACGCACACACGCACACACGCACGCGCACACACGCGCACACGCACGCACACGCACGCACACGCACGCACGCACGCACACACGCACACACACACGCACACATTCACACACACACGCACACACACACACACACATTCGCGGCGCACGCGCGCACGCGCGCACGGTCACACGGTCACACGCGCACACGCGCACACCCACACACCCACACCCACGCCCGCCCGCCCGCCCGCCCGCCCGCCCGCCCGCTGGCCGGCCGGCCCGCCGACCCGCTGGTCCGCCGGCCCGCACGCACGCACGCACACACGGACGCACTCGCGCGCGCACGCACACACACACACACCCATATCCATGGGTGCGGGTTGTCGGGCCCTGGGGGGCGCTCGCTTTCGAGCGGGGTCCCCCATCCGACGACGCGCGCCGATTGCCCTTCCCAACCCCCCTATGAGTATGGGTGTGTGCTTTTCGTTCGTCGTCCCATAAGAGCCCCAAGAGGGCTCCCGGAGAGCCACCCGAGGGCCCCTTCCAAGAGCGGTCGCGAAGCGGGGGTCCGCGAGAGGCAGGCACCAAGACGACCCAGTTACAATCCCAAGAGGCCCCCGTCCGATCCGAAGTAATGCCTGCTGTTGGCGGCGGGCGAGGTGGAGAAGCGAGACGGAAAAGGCCTTCTGGGAAGGCTCGGAAATCCCCAGGCCTTCTGGGAAGTCTTCTGAGTCTTCCCGGGAGACACAACGACTCCAGAGAAGGCGCGACGGTTTCTGAGAAGTCCCGCCGCCTTCTGAGCAGGCCTTCTCCTTCTCACTTCCCCCTATCGCTCGCCGCCGAAGTGCGATCTGCATTGACGCCTAACGTGGCCCAAGATGGTCCAGAGAAGGCCCAAGAGTTGGGACAAGCGGGGGGCAGGCACCGATATTGTCCCGAGGCAGCCACGAGAGGCCCCAAGAAGACTCCAAGGTGGCACAAGGGCAGACCCCAAGAACAATCCGCCAAAGGGTAATAACAAGACGGCGCGCCGGAGGCCCCAACAAGCCCGTCATAAGGGGGCGCCACACACGCACACACACACACACACACACACACGCACACACGCGCACACACACGCGCGCACGCGCACGCTCACGACATGCGCCCACGCACACGCACACGCACACGCACACGCACACGCCACACACACGCACACGCACACGCACACGCACACGCACACACAAACACACACACACACGCACACACGCTCACACGCACACAAGCACACATGCACACACGCACACACGCACAAACGCACACACGCACACACGCACACACTTTTGCGTCGGGGGCTGGGCAGAGGGCGTCTGCTCCGGCGGATTAGCACCAGGGAACACGCTGTATGCAAATTAAGGCCGCAATGCACAGAAGGAGGAGGAGGAGCCCCGGCGCGACGGAAGAAGGGAAGCCGGGCCACTCAGCACACACAAGCACACACGCACACGCACACACGCACACGCACAAACGCACACACGCACACACGCACACACGCACACACGCACACACGCACACACTCCCGCACACGCACACGCACACACACAACCACACACACACGCACACACGTGCACACGCGCACACGCGCACACGCGCACACGCGCACACGCGCGCACGCGCACACGCGCGCACGCGCACACGTGCACACGCGAACACGCGCTCAAACGCGCACAGGCACTCACGCGCACACGCGCACACACGCACGCGCACGTGCACGCGCACACGCAAGCGCACACACGCACACGCACACGCACACGCGCACACACGCACACACACACACACACGAAAACGCGCACGCACACACGCGCACACGCACACACGCGCACACGCACACACGCACGCACACACGCACACACGCACACACTTTTATGGTCTGCGGGTCGAGAACGAGCCTCTTCCACACACACACACACGCACACACGCACACACACACACACACACACGCACACACGCACACACGCACACACGCACACATGCACACGCACACGCACGCACACACGCACGCGCACACGCGCACACGCGCACATGCGCACACGCGCACTCGCGCGCACGCGTACTCGCGCGCACACGCGCACACGCGCACACGCGCACGCGCATGCGCACACGCATTCGCACTCGCACCTCGCACACCTACACCCCCCCCCCCACCCCCCACACACACACATACACACATACACACATACACACATACACACATACACATATACACACATACACACATACACACACATACACACATACACACATACACGCATACACGCATACACGCATACACGCATACACACATACACACATACACACATACACACACCTTTGTGGAGCTGCTGCTCCCGCGGTGGGGGGGCTCGGCTGAGCTTGCCTGTTCAATTTGTGCGCTGTCCAGGCGCGGCAAGGCCGAGTGCGGGAATGCACCCGAGATAAATACCTCCGCGCCCTAATAATGGGGCCCCTTGCGGCCGCGCGGGGGGGTGCGGGCGGTGGGCGCCTGGGGGGCCGTCCGTCGCTCGAGGGGTCTTTTGGCCTGGGGGGGTGGGTAGGCTGTGACCGAATGTGCGTCCGTGACGTGCGAGCAACCCCCTGCCCCCGTGGCGGGGGCCGCTTCGGCCGTGCCTGGGCCGTTGCTCCCGCCCCACGTACCACTTTCGGGTGCTGCACACCCCGCCCCTCGGCCCCTCCCCCTTCGGGCGGCGTACGGTCCCCCCCTGGTGGCCTCTGCCCCCCAACCCCCCCGTCGGCCCAGGGGAAGGGGCATAGCCCCAAGGCGGCAGGCGCGGCTGTGTAGGCCCGACCTGTCCCGCAGCGTGGCCTCTGCTTGGCCCAACCGTCGCTACAGGGCTGGCGCGGCCGTTTAGGCCCGACCAGACCCTGGCGCCTGTGGCGTTCGCTTGTTCGCGCGGAGCGTGTAGCTCCGAGGCCTCGAGCCACTGCTCGTGCCTCCTTTGATCAGCCCGTTGTCGGTTGGCACGTGCCTTCAGGCGGCGTGGCCCTGGCGACACACACACAGACACACAGGCACACAGACACACAGACACACAGACACACACGCACACGCACACGCACACGCACACGCACACGCACACGCACACACACACACATAGGTGCACGCGCGCGACGCGCACACGCACACGCACACGCACACGCACACGCACACGCACACGCGCACACACAAACCCAAGCACAAACACAAACATAACACAAGCACAAACACAAGCACACTCACAAGCACAAGCGCCAGAACAATAACAAACACAAGCGTAAGCACAAACACAAGAACAAGCACAAGCACAAACATAAACACATACACACGCACACTCGCACTCACACTCACTGTCGCGGATGCACACGCACACACGCACACACGCACACATTCACGCGCACGCGCACGCGCACGCGCACGCGCACGCGCACACGCGCACGCACGCACGCCGGCGCACGCACGCACGCACGCACGCATGCACACGCGCACTCACACACACACACACGCGCACACACGCACACACACACACACACGCACGCGCACACACACAAGCACACAGAGAAACACAACACAACACAGCACAGCACAGCACAGCACAGCACAGCACAGCACAGCACAACACACATCACACATCACACATCACACATCACACATCACATCACAACACACGGAAACACGGCGCCTCCGAGACCAGGAATTCTGGACGCTACGAGTAATCCCGCCAGTCCATCCAGAAACGATGCCCAAGCGAATTGCCCTGATCAGGAATGTAGAACAGCATGCAGTGGAATAGAGGGCTCGGGACGCTGTCATACCCCCCCGCGCCTCCGAGACCAGGAATTCCCGCACGCTGGAGCGCAGCACAGCCCTACCGTCTGCACCGCGGCAAAATGGCGTCCGACCGGCGCCCTTGAGCTGGAGCTCCCAGCGCTGCCTCGGGAAGGAGGATCGTGAAGGAAGGGGTGAGGGGTGAGGGAGGGAGGGGGGAGCAGAGAGGGAGAGGGGGAGCAGGGACGGAGGGGAACGAATGAGGGAGAGCAGGCAGGAAGGAGGAGTGATGCGGAGCGAGGGGTGGGGTCAGGTCAGGACAGCCCCGAGGGGAAAAGAGACCCGCAAGTCGAACTGACCAGGGGGGGGGGGAGACGGCACCCCTCGGAGAGGCGAATATGTTACCCTGGAACACACAGCTTCCATCACTCCGCCTGGGGCCCGCGACGGGGCGCTGCTCCAAACTCACTCCTCCGCCGCCCTCTCAATACTGGCCCTGGCTCGCCCAGCGAGTGCGGCCAGGCGCCTCTCATAGTCGGGGACCGAGGGCGCACCCGAGCGGGCAGCGGGGGCGGCCGTCCCAGCCAGAGCCATGCTGCGCGGCGAGGGGGTCACCCCCGAGGATGGGACCGCGCGGCGGCTCGCTCCATGAGTTGTCGGACACGGCTGCTGGGGCACGGGCCCCGACGGTACTTCCATTCAGGACCCCGATGCCTTTCCTCGTGGGCCGAACACCCGCACCGAACACACAACAACTGTATGAGGACCGCCTGCTTCTTGGAAGGGTTGGGAGCTATGGGGTGGATCTCGTGAAGCGTCCCACCAACTGTCAGGTGCACCAGGGAATGGCGGACGACCTGACGAACGAACACAGGGGCCCAAGAACACAGTAAGAGCCTCCTGAGGCTCACCCTCGGGGGAAATCTTAAAACAATGCTTGCACTGTGTCCCGAGTGGGCCATCAATCCACTCATGCCATCCAGGAACCTGCTTGACCGAACGGTGCCTCGCAAAAGGCCGCTCTTGCTTGACACGGGTCTGAGCACAGCAGCAACCAGTCGAACGCATTGAGCAGCAACCTTGATCTCGGCATCAAGAAGATTGGCTGCCTCTGGGCCGGCAAGAACATGGATATTTAAGGACTCCTTGGCATGCGCACAGGCAGCTCGGCCACGCACGGAGGAGGGAGAGAGCAGGGAGGGCGGAGGAGGCAGGAGGCAGGAGGCAGCAGGGGGAGGAGGAGGAGGAGGAGGAGGAGGAGGAGGAGGAGGAGGAGGAGGAGGAGGAGGAGAAGGAGGAGGAGGAGGAGAAGGAGGAGGAGGAGGAGGAGTTAATAGTTATAGGAGGAGGTAGGGCTAAGGAGGAGGAGAATGAGGGCGTAGGAGGGGGGAGGCGAGTATGTCTAGAAAGGAGGAGTAGTAGGAGGTACAGGAGGAGGAGGAGGGAGAAGGGAAAAGAAATTTTCGCCAGCCCAACGGGCCAGAGGCGAGCTAAGATCTCCGGTAACTGCTCTACAATGTTTCTACTTCGCGCGCGCGGGGCGGCCCCTGGGGGTCCCCAGACGAAAAGTACCCCGACCAGGTCCCGGCCGGTCCCCGGCCGGGTCCCGGCCGGGTCCCCCCGAGCGCTCCACGAGCGCACCAACAGGGCTCCGAAAACGTCCCCGAGGACCCAAACAAAACCAAGAGGCCCGCAAGAGGCCCCCAAGATGGTACACGAGGCGTCCGAGATGCCACAAGATCGCTCCAAGACGCCCAAGATGGCCCCCAGACGCTCCAAGAGGTCTCCAAGCGTACTCCGAAGAGGGCCCCAAGAGGCAAAATTCATTGCTTTTCCTTAGGTTTTGGACATATTTTGGCTTTTCCACCTTTTCCGCTTCCCGAAGCCCCAAGACAGCCCAAGACGCCCTCCCCAAAGGAACAAAGATCGCCCCAAGAAGAAAAAAAAAAAAAAGAAGTAACAAATAAAAAAGAAAAAAAAGAGTAGAAAAAAAAAACAAAAAAAAAGAAAAACAAACAAGGAAAAAAAATAAGTGCTTAAGAGGCCCCCAAGAGAGCCCCAAGACGGCCCAAGAGGGCTCCAAGACGGCCCAAGAGGTCTCCAAGACGGCCCAAGAGGGCCCCAAGAACGCCCCAAGAGGGGGAACACGATACAACATTTCCAGCCCTCGGCCCCAAGAAGCCCCCAGGAGGTCCCAAGAGGCCCCTAAGAGGCCCCAAGAGACCCCCCAGAGGCTCTCAGGAAGCTCCCAAGAAGCCCCCAAGCGGCCCCAGGATGCCCCCAAGAGGCCCCCCAACCGGCCCCAGGAGGCCCCCCAAATACCCCCCGGGCACGCAGGCAAGCGCCAGTGATGCTGCAATATGGGCCGGCGGAATGAGCGAAGCGATTGAATAAGAGGGAGGAGGAAGAGGAGGAGGAGGAGGAGGAGGAGGAGGAGGAGGAGGAGGAGGAGGAGGAGGAGGACGAGGACGAGGAGGACGAGGACGCAGGACGCAGCATAGAACGGCGAGGCATCCGAGAACGCGACGACGACTATATGATACTGGGAGAGGGCCAGCCCTCAGAGAAAACCAAGCAAATTACGGCTTAGACTGGACGAGGCTGATGCCAGTTGCTCGGTGCCTGCCTTCAGAGAACCAGTCCCTGGCCCGCCGGCGGCCAGGGTTGGGGGGCTTCGTGGGGCAGGGGTCACCAAGGGCCTCGATCTTGGCCGAGCCAGATGGCAACTCGGGCTCCGCAGAACCCACTGAACAGGAAGGACCCTGCCTTGTTCATATGGTGCCCGTCGCACACGAGTAGACTCCCACCTGCCTCCACACCAAAAAAGGCAGCCGCATCGGCATAGGCAATCTCACCCTCCCCCTCGGCATGCTGGCGCCAACCGAGCCGCTCGGCCAGAGCAGCAAGCTGGCCAAGCATCGGCCCGGGCTCACACCTAGCCCCTGGCTTGAGCAAAGACTTGCCACTGACTGGGATCCGAGCAACCACCAAACATTGCCTGCACTGCAACGCCGAGGGACCAGGGGCCAGGGGCACGGTATCGTGAGCAACAATAACCAGCCTTGGCCTTTCCTTCTTGGGCGGCTTTTGAGGGGCTGGGGCAGCACCAGAAACATACACAAATGATCTGAACCGCTCGGGCCAGAAACTGGCATGACAGGTTGCACTCTATAACGGCCTCCTGGAGGGACGCGGCCGCAACGTCGGCAACAGCAACATCAAGGGCTCCAAGCTTGGCGAAGAAGTCCGCCCAAGCATTACCCATGAATCTCCAAATTTCGCCAGCACGCGCTCCTTGCTCAGTTAACCTCTCCAAACAGAGGTGCGCAGGAGTCCAGTGGAACTCGGGGCGCATAGCATGGCACACGAAATATGCTGCGCCAAATCGACGCGTGCGGGGCAAGGCCATGCTCAAGTTTGGGATCCCAACCGTGCCCGTCGTGAACACACGAAAGGTGATCATTGATTATGACGGGAGGCTGGTCTCCAGCAGGCCCCAAGGAAACTGCATCGAGCCCAGCCCACTTTTCGGACCAAGGGACCGACTGGAAGCGCCCTGGGAGCCCGCCGAACCTGGCTCTCAAGGGCCAGCCGTCCTCGGAGATTTCGACAACGCTCCAACCACATCGAGTGGCTTCGGGCACCGCACTGTGCAGCCCGACCCGTCAGTGAGCCCCAGGGACCGTCCGCGAGACCCCAGGTGAGCACCGGCGGCTGAGCTAAGGGAGGGGGCAGTTGGATGGGGAGCGAAGGGGGCCCGTAGAGGAGAAGAACTCGATCCCAATCAGGAGAACCGATGTTGACATCGTACCCCTTTCTCCCGCAAGGCCTGCCTACGCGCCCAAACATCTTCGGGAAAAAACCATCCTGACCGCCTCCTCCTCCTCCCCAGACACGAAGGCACACGAACAATCATAGAGTTGGCGGCCCAATGTGCCGTAAGGGGCCCGGCAGAAAATGCAAGCAGCAGATGGGGCCAGCCCAGCCGCATGCTTGCGAGCTGGTGGCCACAACCCTCCAGAGCAAGTCGCGCGGAACGACCCCTGCCGGCTACCCGCGGGGAGGGCCAGAATCGCGAGGCGCATCGCTCGAGCCCAACAATATTCTGAGCCCGTCGCTTCTGGCCAGTGGAAAGGGACCCTGCGCCAGAGCCAACGCTCCACACCATCGCGCAACAAATTGCGGACCTCGCACGGCGAATACACATACAGCGAGATATGGTCTCCGAGGTCGGAGGTGAGAAGGTGGGGAGCAACCATGTCCCACCTGACCCTGCGAAGGGAAAGAAGAACGGCAGAAATCGGCCCAAAGCACAACCTCCAGGTCCCCTGGCCTCCGAGCTTACCCCAGATTGTGCCCTCAAGCCCTCATCAACATACCAGGGGAAGTCCTACCATCCCAGAGCCAACACGCACATCTGGCTACAAGGGGGCATGTGGCATCAAAAGTGAGATCATACAGATTATCCTTGTGCGTGCACGTATACACTGTGAGGTAGGCCAGGCCACGCCTCGCGCCTACCAGCTCCCCAACAAAAAAACTGAGTTCCATCATAGTGGTGTCGGTGAGGCCTACTACACCAGCCCCATAACTACCCGACGGCAAAACCTCCGTGCGCCACAGACACCGGACCTTCAGACCCCCAGCTCTCCTAAGGGCGCGAAGACGGCCCCGCTTCCCAAGCACCGCCCCCAACCTCCTCCTCTCAAGGGTTCCTTGGGCGGTGTCTCCTGCAAAGGTGTCGTGGCCAAGATTCCGCGCCGTCCGAAACGCCTGGAGTTTCAGTCTGGCCGCTGTCGACTTCACAGCACGAGATGTTTCCGTCGAGGACGCAATATAACCGGACTTGGAGGCCTGCAACAAAAACAATAGATGGCGGGCGTAGCCGGCGAAAGCCGTGACAGCATTAAAACAACCCTGGCATACTTAGCCTGGTTTCCTATCCACTGGAACGACACATCATCCATGAGGCCTCGGGGCACCATACATTCGAACTCCCTCTTGAGCCTCTGGAGAGGCCGATGGAGGAGGACCTGCATGAGGGTGGTGGCGTGGGAGCAGCCCGCCACAACTCCCTGGAAATACGTGTCAGAACGACTCAGGAAATTGAGACCTTTGATGCGCCGAGGCTGTTGATAGCTGCGCACCAGCATCCACGCTAAACGCACAGGAAATGCTACGGCAGCGGCCTCGGCCATCACGGTACTCAGTAAGACAAGCTCATAACATTTAATCATGTCAACCAGAACTGTCACACAATGCTGGCCTCCGAACCCTTCCCCGCACCCTTATTAAAGTATGCATGAAGGCAACCAACCTGTGTTCGCCAGGCTTGTCCGGCTTGGACAGCCTCACCAACTCCGTAGCCACCAACCCTTGCGGCCAGCAGCAGAGCTTTTCGCACAACATGAAGAGGAGCGCCACCATCTGCAGTGCCTGGTCGCTCAGGTGCCACAGACTGCACGGGGACATGCGCCCAGGACAAATGGCCGTCTTGGCAGAAAATTTGCGCACGGCAGCGCGGACCTCAAAATGCGAGATCGTCGGCAGAGGCTCCCACGACTCCGCCTCGGGCGGCAGCTCCATCTTCACGCAGCCGGGTCGTCCAGACCGTGGCCCAGTCATCCAGGCAGTCGTCGACTAGCTCATGCGGCTGGCTTCCTGTCCGGGCCTCGTCTGCAGGCTGCAGGGCACGGGCCTTGCTGAACCGGTGAGCTCGCGACGCGCCTCTGACGAAGCTGGCCTCGACCCACTCCGTCCAAGACTTGGCTCGCTCAACCGCGAAAGCTGCAAGCCTGGATTCACCTTGATGGATGAGCCAGTCGACCATGTCGTGAAAACCGGCGTCGGCAAACACCATCAACCTCTGCCCAAAGAACTCCGCAACGCACGGGTCTACAGCCGAGAACACCCACCTCTGCTGAAGGAGGCGCCCGAAGAAAGCCTCCTTGTCGTGAAGGAAGACGCCGAGCTTGGAGGTCTCCGCCGCCGACGGCCCTCCAGCAGCCCTCGCAACCATGAGCTGCGGGATGCGATGGCTGAGGCTCTCGCTGACTCGCCGCTGGTGTCGCGCCCAGCCAGCCGCCACAACCCACGCGTCAGTCGCCGTGCCCCGATCCGGGGGACGATGCCGCGGCGGCTGCTAGGCATACTTCTGCCAGCGCATGCGGAGCGGGCCTGCCCTGCCCGTCTGAGCCTGGAAGCCTGCGCCAACTAGGTCGTAACGGCCACACAGCTGCTGCTCAATGCATTGCAGCACGTCGTCACAGCACTGGCTGAGCTCCGCCTCGCTAGCCGCCGCTCCTAGTCGCTTCTGGACCGCGTGCCAGAGCGACGAGGAGTAGGAGGAGATGGAGGAGGAGGAGGAGGAGGAGGAGGAGGAGGAGGAGGAGGAGGAGGACGAGGAGAAGGAGACGGAGGAGCAGGAGGAGGATGAGGATGAGGAAGAGGACGAGGAGGAGGAGGAGGAAGGAGGAGAAGGATGATGAATGATGATGATGATGATGATGATGATGATGATGATGATGATGATGATGATGATGATGATGATGATGATGATGATGATGATGAGGCGGAGAGAAGGAGGAGGAGGGGAGGAGGAGGGAGGAGAAGGAGGGACAAGTAATAGGAGGAGAGGGGGGAGGCGGAAGGAGGAGGAGGAGAAGGAAAGTCTAGCAGGAGGGAACGGGGAGGGGGCTGGGACTAAAGAGGAGGAGGAGGAGGAGGAGTGAAGGAAGAGGAGGATGACGAGGAGGAGGAGAGGAGGAGAAGAGGAGGAGGAGGAGATGGAGGAGGAGGAGGGGAGGAGGAGGAGGAGGAGGAGGAGGAGGAGGAGGAGGAGGAGGAGGAGGAGGAGGAGGAGGAGGGAGGAGGAGGAGGGAGGAGGAGAAGGAGGAGGAGGAGGAGGAGGGGAGGAGGAGGAGGAGGAGGATGAGGAGGAGGAGAGGGCGAAACACGAGGAAGAGGAGGAGGAGGAGGAGGAGGAGGAGGAGGAGGAGGAGGAGGAGGAGGGGAAGGAGGAGGACGAGGATTGAGGGGTGGAGAATTCAGGAGGAGGAGAGGAGGCGGGGAGGAGGACGAGGAGGAGGAACAGAAGCAGGCGGAGTGAGGATCAGGAGGAGGAGGACGGAGGAGGAGGAGGGGCGGGGGGGGAGAAGGAGGAAGGGAGGAGGAGAGGAGGTAGGAGGAGGAGGAGGAAGAGGAGGAAGAGGAGAAGAGGAGGAGGAGGAGGAGGAGGAGGAGGAGGAGGAGGAGGAAGAGGATGAGGAGAATGAGGAGGAGGGAGCAGGAGGAGGAGAGGAGGAGGACGAGGAAGGAGGAGGAGGAGGAGGAGGGAGGAGGAGGAGGAAGAGGAGGAGGAGGAGGATGAGAAGGAGGAGGTGGTGGAGGGAAGAGGGGGGAGGAGGAGGGGGGGAGGAGGCAGGAGGAGAGGAGGAGGAGGAGGAGGAGAAAGAGGATAATAATGAGGAAGAGAAGGAAGATGAGAAGGACGATGAGGACGAGGAGGAGAAGGAGGATATGGAGGATGAGGAGGAGGACGAGGAGCAGGAGGGGGAGGACGAGGAGCAGGAGGATGAGGAGGAGGGAGGCACGGATGATGATGATGATGGTATGATGATGATGATGCTGCTGATGATGGTGATGATGAGGAAGGGAGAAGAGGATTATGCGAGACAGCAGGTGTTGAGGAGGAGGAGGAGGAGGAGAGGAGGAGGAGGAAGAGGAGGAGATGAGGAGGAGAAGGAAGGAGGAGGAGGAGGAGGAGGAGGAGGGGGGGAGGAGGAGGAGACGAGGACGAGGACGAGGACGAGGCGGAGGAGGAGGAGGAGGAGGAGGAGGAGGAGGAGGGAGGAGGAGGAGGGGTGGCGTGGGGAAAGGGAGGAGGGGAGGAGGAGGAGGAGGAGGAGGAAGAGGAGGTGGAGGAGGAGGAGGAGGAGGAGGGAGGAGGAGGAGGAAGAGAAAGAGGGCGAGGAGAGGAGAAGGAGGAGGAGGACGAGATGAGGACGAGGCGGAGGGCGTGTCGGAAAAGGGGGGGAGGACGGAGGAGGAGGCGTAGAGGAGGAGAATGAGGGGGAGGACAAAGTGGGAGGAGGAGGGAGGGGGAGGAAGAGGAGGCAGGACTGATAAGGAATGGAGTAAGAGAGAAGGCGGGGCCGACGCGGAGGCGGAATGATCGGCGGAGGAAGAGAAGCAGGAGAAGGAGGAGGAGGAGGAATGCAGGAGGAGGAGGCGGAGGGACACAGGAGGAGGAGGAGGAGGAGGAGGAGGAGGAGGAGGAGCAGGAAGAGGAGGAGGAGGAGGAGAAAGAGGAGGAGGAGGAGGAGCAGGAGGAGGGGGAGGAGGAGGAGAAAAGGAGGAGGACGAGGAAGAGGGGGAGGAGGTGGAGTCGGCGGCGGAGTTGGCGGAGGAATGGGAGGAGGATAAGGGCGAGGACGTGGAGGGAGAGTCGGAGGATGATGAGGATGATGGTGGGGAGGAGGAGCAGGAGGAGCAGGATTCTGCTGGATTCTGCTGCCTTGCCGCTCACGTGGCCGATCCTTCTCCTTTTCTGCAGGCTGGGTCGCAGGAGGAACACGAGCCTCCGCGACCCAGGACGGCCGCCGCAGGAGGAACACGAGCCTCCGCGACGGCAGCGGCGCAGGAGGAACACGAGCCTCCGCGCGAAGAGACAGCCGCGGGAGGAACACGAGCCTCCGCGACTGCAACCACCGCAAGAGGAACACGAGCCTCCGCGACAGCACCGACCGAAGCGCCGCAGGAAGGCACGACCCTCCGCGGCACTCAGAACTCGGCCGTCTTGGCGGGGAAGGTGCGGAAGGAGTCGGGGAGGCCGAGATATACCATGACCTCATGCTGCTCAGTCTCGTCCAGAGCCAAGTACGCATCGGTCATCTCATCAACGGCGTCGACACGCTCGACCACAACACGGGCCAGGGCGGCCTTGGCAGACTCAACGCTCAGGGTTGCCTGGTTCAAGACGGCGTGCTTCCTGGCGCACTCGGCCACGGCGTCCTCCTTGCCGCTGGTGCCCCCCGTCTTCACCGCCTTCTGCTCCTTCTCTTTCTCGGCGTCCTTGTCCTCAAGCTCCGCGCCGAAGGTGCGCACCTGCATCTCGTTCGGCTGCACCCTATCCTTCACGGCCACCATCCTGAGAGGGTCGGCGTCCGACCCCGCAAGGCTCTCCTGTTCCGTGAGCCCATCGCCCGTGCTGCCAGCATCGGAGCGGGAGTGCACGTCCCTCGCCAATCCGACATCAGGATGCCTTTTAGCGTTGCGAAGCTTGCTCAACCTCCCGACGCGGGAAGCGAGCTTCGGCGCGCCACGCTCGCGCAGAATGCTTTTGGAGTCCTGGACCGAGACGGTGTCCGCGAAGTTCATTGCATCCTTGACCGCGTCGAGGACCACCTCGAGCTGCACCAACTCGCACTTCTTGCCGTAGCCGTCGTCGCCGCCATCCGCGCATGCTGCCGATGCGCCTGCCGCCATGCCCTGGACAGCCCCGCGCGCTGCAGCCGCCACCACTGCTGCGGTGACCTTTGTGCCGCACTGGCCACCATGACCGGCGAGTGCTGCCAAGGCCGCGCCAAATGCCGCCTGGGCGATCGGCAGCGCCGTCAACTTCTCCAAGAGGCCATCCATCCCCATCGCACGAGGGAGAAGGCCGCGTGAGCGGCCCGCCGCGACCTGAGCCAAAAATGGCTTGAGCCAAAATGGCTACGCAGCAGGAGGAGCAGGAGGTGGAGGGGGGGAAGGAGGAGGACGAGGAAAAGAAGGAGGAGGAGAGAGGGTGCGGCCCGTCGGGGCCCACGAACTCGCCGATGGACATCGCGCGCCCGTCGCCGTAGCCGTTGCCGTTGCCGAACGGGCAGTTCTGGTACATTTCATGGCCGTAGATGGACAGGGCGTAGGGCGTGGCCCACGCCTGCAGCCCGTCAACGACGGACAAGTCCCCGGAGAACAGGCGGGCGAACCTCTCGGTGCCGGCTTCCTCCTCTTTGCATGCCAAGGGAAACGTCGGCCCTCCTTCCTTCCCTCCCTCCCTCTCCCCTCCCCCATCCTCCTCCCCCCCTCCCTCCCCTCCTACTCCCCCCCCCTCCCCCTCCTTTGGGCATGCCTCCTCCTCGGGGGCGATGGCAGGGCAGAACGAGTTGCCCGAAATGGACAGCGGAACCGACGTTTACTGCTAAGAGGACCTCGCTCGTCTAGACTCCAACGGTGAATCCTGCCCAACGCGTGCATTGCAAGAACTCCAGTCGGTCGTCATCCACGTCCGTTTCGTCCCCTTGTCAAGCATCTCTGTAATCTCACCGGGAAGAGCGCCAACCATACCCCGACATCGATCTTGGCCAGGCCCATCCTGGGCCCAGGATCGGTCAACACTCCTTCCCTAGAGGGAGACAACCAGATATGCTGGCGAAGATCAACCATGTGCAATTGTGAATATTGCAAGGCAGGTTCGACGAAGGAGGGGCATGTCTTTGTGAGGCCACGCAACGTGTGAGGATGTGCCGACATTGGCGGGGGAGCGCCTGTGGACACCGCCGCCAATGCCTTCGGTGGAATTCTTTACGGGCAGGCCACGGAACGCTGTACTGGGTGGAGTGGAAGCATCTGATCACAGCCACTGGGACCGTCGGTAGAGCTCCCTATGGGACCACGTAGCGCTGTACTAGGTGGCGCGGACGCATGTTATCACTGCCACAGGGGCTTTCTGTGGAGCTCCTATGGGGCCGCGAAGCGCTGTATTTGGTAACGCGAGCGCATGTGATCACAGCCGTTGGGGCCTTCGGTGTAATGGGTGGCGCGGGCGCATGTGATCACAGCCACTGGGACCCTCGGTGGAGGTCCCAGTGGGACCGCGAAGCGTTGTACGGGGTTGCGCGGGCGCATGTGATGCCGGTGGAGCCTTCGGTGGAGCCCCCCTTGGGTCCAAAAAGCGCTGTAATGGGTGACGCGGACGCATGTGATCACAGCTGTTGGAGCCTTCGGTGGAGCTCCCTATGGGTCCAAGAAATGCTGTACTGGGTGGCGCGAACGCATGTGATCACAACCACTGGGGCCTTCGGTGCAGTTTCCTGTGGGGCCACGCGTGGCCCGGATGCATGTGATCACAGCCGCTGGGGCCTTCGGTGGAGCTCCCTGTGGGGCCGCGAAACAGTGCGCTGGGTGGTGCGGGCGCGTGTGATCGCAGCCGTTGGGGCCTTCGGTGGAGCTCCTCATGGAGCCACGAGACGGAGGAGGATGAATAGATAGACCCTCATCAAAGAGGCCCTAACGACCGTCTGCACGCAGACGACCGCCAGGGCCCCAGATGTCGACAAGTCCCCGCGCCGCCGCGAGCACGCCGCGCGGGCGCCGAGGCCCCGAAGAAGCCCGGACAGGCATCCGTCACGACCTTGGCCTACCCCGAGGGCAAGCCAGGGGAACGGAAGCCACCCCCGCGGGGGCGGACGGGCAACCAGGACGCGCGACAGCGCGCGAGCCCCAGGCCGCGGCGCACCACGCCCGAAACACGCCGAGGGGGCCGCCAGCCAGGAAACCGAGGCAAATCCAGCGAGAGGCCAGCCCCTCAGGGGTCGCCGACCCCGCCCTCCACCCGGAAGAAGTGCACGCCCTTCAGGACGTAGGCCTGCCGGAAGCGGGCGCTCCCCATGAAGTCGTGCACGGACTCGTGGGCGATGCCCTTGGCCTCGCTCTGGAGGACGACGTCCTCCAAGCTCACGCCGACGTGGGGGTGCCCGATCGTCGGCTCGCCATTCGCACGCTCCGAAACGCACAGCGCGCGGCTGCGCGCGAACGGCCGGAAAAATGGACGCTCGACGCCGAGGCGGCTCAGGCAGGAAAAGGCCTTGCATTCCACATCCTCGGCCGCCCTGGGCCCCCAACTCGGCGGGATCCGTGTCCGCGTCCAGCTCGGCGGCTCCTCGGTGGTGTCCGCCTGGACCGGCTCGGCGGGCTCCTCAGTGGTGACCGCCTGGATTAGCTCGGGGGGCTACTCAGCGGCGTCCGCCTGGACCAGCACGGCGGGTTCCTCGCAGGCGCGGCCCCGGGGGGCCCGTCGACGGCGATCCCGTGCCCGAGGCGCTCCACAGCGCCGATCTCCAACGCCGAGCCGACCTCGACATCAACGGTCCACGGACTCCTCCGGGACCCGCTCGGGCTCGACCTCCTCCTCCTCCTCCTCCTCCTCCTCCTCCTCCTCCTCCTCCTCCTGCCTACAATTTCAACACCTCCAGCTGCTCCTCCGGCTGGGCGGTCGGGGTGGCAACGCACTCGGATACCGCGTCCGTGCCCGCCTCGGCGACGGGGCAATCGCCACCCGCGTCCAGCGCGGCAGCGGTGTCCCGCGCGGCAGCGGCCTCGCCACCCGCGGGGCAGCAATCCCCCGCAGGGGCCCCGGGGCCTGCAAGGCCGCCGACGCCCAACTCCTGCAGCGGCGTGTCGGCCTTCACGAAGCAGGCGGGTGTGAAGGGGGGCGGCCTCGCCCCTGAGCGGCGTCGCGTCGCCTGTCAGCGGGCGCTCGAGCGCTTGGGCGTCCCGGCCCCCCGCGTGGAGGCGCCAGCGGCCGAGGGGGGGCGAGGCGGGCCGCCCGCCGCGCCAGGCTGAGGCGCATGCGCCTGGCCCAGCCCCCCCTCTTGCAACGCTACCTCGCACTGCGCGGTAGTGTCGGGCGGCATCCGAAGCAGCCTGGCGGCCTGCAGCGCCTCGCCCGTGCTGGGCAGGTGCGCCCCGAGGCTGTCGCACAGCCGCCAGTGCTCGCGAAGGGAGGCTCAAAAGGCCTTCTCGCGCACCACCAGCGCAGCCGCCCGAGACGGCCTCACATCACGGCGAGCTTCTTGCCGCAACCTGCGGGCGAAGGTGCGGGCGCTCGCGGCAGCCCAGAATCTGCCGCCAGCCGCGCCACCCGCCAACACGATGGCCTCTGGCGCGCCACGCGCCTGAGCGGCGCGCTGCGAGGGCCTCCCGAAGCGCGGCTCACTTGAGCCAAAATGGCAACGGAAGAGGAGGAGGAGGAGGAGGAGGAGGAGGAGGAAGAGGAGGAGAAGGAACGCGGGGTGCTGTCTTCTCAAAACGAGGACCCAACATCGCAAGTTGGTAGGGAAATTCGCCGGCCCAACGGGCCAGAGGCGTGCTAAGATCTCCGGAAACAGGTTAACAATATTTCTAGTTCGCGCGCGCGTGGCGGCCACTGGGGACCCTCGGATGAAAAGTACCCCTGCCGGTCCGACTCAGAGATGTTTTTTCCTTCTGGGCGTGGCTTTCAGTCGCCCCAAAGCGCTCCTCGAGGGCCCCAAGAGTTCCCATGACGGTCCAAGAGGGCTCCGAGTCACCGACCGATCGGTCCAGGACGCCCAAGATGTCCTCCAGGCGGCCGCAGTCGCCCCCAAGACGCCCAAAGAGGCCTCGAAGAAGCGTCTCAGGAGGGCCCCAACAAGCAACAATCGCCCCCCCCTCTCGGAGAACGTACATTTTTCGCATGTGCGACGTCCTCGTCTTTTCGGCTTCCCATCGCTCCAAGACGGCACAAGAGGCCCCCAAGACCGCCCCAAGACGGCCTAAGAAGCCTCCCAGAGGACCCCAAGAAGGCCCAAGATGGCCACACGACAGCCCAAAGGCGCCCCAAATGGCCGAGTATGGCCCCAAGAGAGGCCCAAGCCGGGGACCAGGAACCGAAAAGTTCAGCTTTCAGCCCCAGGAGGCACTCAGGAGGCCCCAAGAGGTCCCCCAAGAGCCCGAAGGAGCCTACAAGAGGCATCCCAAGAGGCCCTAAGAAGCCCCCAAGAGGCCCCAACACGGCCCCAAGATGCCTCAAAACTGCCTCCCAGAGGCCCCCAAGAGGCCCCAACACGGCCCCCAAGCGGCGAGGCAATATGGGCCGGCGGAGTGAGCGAAGCGATTAACCATGAGTCTACACTTTCGGAGGTCCGCGCGGATGTCTAGGATTCGCGCTACGTCCCCCTCCCTGGCGCACGGAGCGCGCCAGGGGCGGTGCTGGAGGGGCCGCCAGGGGGGCCCGGCGCCGATCCAGGACATCCGCGCAGAGCTCCGCGAAATTACGGCAATGCGCATGCCCTCTTCGTTCCCCCGTGTTCATCCGGAGGTCGCACGCACGGTGGTGAGGCTTCAGGTTGCGCGCAGGCAGCCCCCGCCCCCGCGCCTCCACACCCTGGCGCCGCCTCCAGCGGTGCCCCCTGGAGCGCTCCGCGCCCCAAGGCTGGGGTGTTGAGGCCGCCCTGCGCTGCTGGGGCGTCCTGCTGAGGCCGGCTGGGACTGCTCGGGGGGCCTGCTTGCGGCCAGCCGGGGCTGCCTTGGAGGCCTGCCCGTGCGCAGCCCGAAGCCTGACCAGTGAACGGATCCTGGGCCGAGGATTGGCTTGGGCGCGAAGTGACGGGGGGGAGAACTGGCGGGGGCAGAGCGGGGGGCAGAAAAGGGGCCCCCAGGGTCGGCCCTGTAGGGCCCCAGAGGGGGCATTGAGTGCCCGAGAAGGGCACATTTTCCCCTCCCCCCCCCCTTTAAATGTCGCCCCATCCATTAATTGGCGCCCCGTAGGCCTGGCGAGGACCGGTGTCGGCGTAGAGCTACTGTTTCTCGGCTCCTCGCTGGATCCGCGCGACGCCCTCCTTCGCACGAAGCGCACCAAGGTCGGCGCCAGGGGGCGCTGCCGTGGGGGCCCCACCGCCAATCCAAGAGGAATCCGCGAGGAGCTCAGAGAATTGATGGAAGCAACTCATCGGAACCTCCCATACCATTCTTGCTGGATCTTGCGAATCGACGATGATCGACCGTAATCGACGCCAATCTACGCTAGTCATCGCTAAATCGACACTGTCTCATGGATTACCAAGCGCCAATCGACGATCATCACCGCTAAAGACAGAACTAAGAGGGTAAACGAGCCTCCCAATATTGGCTAGCGAAAGGATGTATGGTTCTTGTCCGAAGGATCGGTGTCGGCGTAGAGTTACGTTGTTTGCTTCTCAGCTCCTCGCTCAGGCCGAGGTTGCGCAGCATCTCCGCGCTCGTGGCCTTAGTTGTTCTTAGAAACGCAGGGGGCGTTTTTTCTTGTTAGTTTTCCATGTTTCGCTTGTGGCTCGACCAAAACGTGTTAAAACATCGGCACCCCGAACGTGGACGTCAGGCACTCGGCATTGTGATGCAAGAAAGACGCTTTGACGACGCAGCACCAAAAAAACAGGAAGGAAACGAGCCAACGGGCCACGGGCCGATCCCGGACCCGAGCACGTAACAAGAACGGTGCCCCAGACCGAGAGAAAACCTCGATCTTGAAAACGAAACGAGAGAGATCACCGAAGCGCATCTACGTAAGCTCACCTCCTCCTGCTCCTCCTCCTCCTCCTCCTCCTCGCTCTCTCCTTCTCCTCCTCCTCCTCCTCCTCCTCCTCCTCCTCCTCCTCCTCCTCCTCCTCCTCCCACTCCTCCCTCTCTTCCTCCTCCTCCTCCTCATCCTCCTCCTCCCTCTCCTCCTCCTCCTCCTCCTCCTCCTCCTCCTCCTCCTCCTCCTCCTCCTCCTGCTCCTGCTGCTCCTGCTGCTCTCAGCTTCTTTGTATCAGAAGAAATCATCTAAGCTTAGGGAGGGCATGTCCCCCTACAGGTGGATTTCGGATGACATATCAAACCTAGTTCTTGTAACCTATACGACCACCCTGCGGGTGATAAGGAGGTTGGGGGGGGGGTGGAGGGGTCGAGCAATCGGCAACAGTGGTGATTGTTCTCCTGACGATGCCAGTGGAGATTTTTTTCTCGGAGGCCTGCTGAGGCTCCTCTCCCTCCCTTTGTCGGGTTGCACATGGTGCAAATGCAGTTGATGAGAACTGCTGCGACAGCGACGGCGGCGGCGTCCTGTCGGCGTATCCCTTTTTATGTCGACGGCCCAACTCCAGGGGCCGAGACGCACCAGTTTTTCGATTCGCTTCCAGCCGCGGCGGCGAGCAGGGCCTCCGAGGGCCAGGAAACCTCGACCGAACCTCGGCGCCAACCTCAAAACGGAACCGGAACCCCTCCCAGGGGCCCGCGCCGGCGTCCTGTCGGCGTATCCCTTTTTATGTAGACGGCCGAACTCCACGGGCCCAGACGCCCCAGTTTTTCGATTCGCTTCCAGCCGCGGCGGCGAGCCCGCGCGGCCGCCCGAAGGAACGGGGCGCGCTCGGAGAGAGCGGCTGGCAAAGCCTAGCCTGTACTGGTGGGTGCACGGGGCCTCGCCCGCACGCACGGCACGCACGAACACGAAACCGAAATCGATTTCCCGGTAGGGGGGCTCTCCGTTCCACTTCGATCTCACCCCCCAACCTCCGATCACAATCGATCTCACAATCGACGTCGTCATCATCATCATCATCATCATCATCATCATCATCATCATCATCATCATCATCATCGTCGTCATCATCATCATCATCATCATCATATCATCATCATCATCATCATCATCATCATCATCATCATCATCATCATCATCATCATCATCATCATCATCATCATCATCATCGCCATCATCAACATCATCATCATCACCATCATCATCATCATCATCATCATCATCATCATCATCATCATCATCATCATCATCATCGGGACACCGACGGGACCGACGGGACACCACCGGGACACCGGCGGGACACCGCGCGGCCCCGCGCCCCGGTGGAGAATCATTTGGTGCGGCCGCGCCTCAGCCACAGAGGACACCACCGGGACACCGGCGGGACACCGCGCGGCCCCGCGCCCCGGTGGAGAATCATTTGGTCCGGCCGCGCCTCAGCCACAGGAGACTTTCCTCTCGCCCGCCCACGCAGCTTCGCCTCGCCCGCACGCACGGCACGCACGAACACGAAACCGAAATCGATTTCCCGGTAGGGGGGCTCTCCGTTCCACTTCGATCTCACCCCCCAACCTCCGACAAAAGAAAAACAAAACTATTTTTGAATATTCCTCCTGTAGATGGACATGCCCGACTCAAGTTTAAGCTCGTGGCCACGAGGTACGGCTCGCCCAGTGCCTCCGGCTCCAGCGGCACCCAGTGCCCCGACCGCACCTCCCGGGAGCGCCTGTTCGGGGCGTGCTGCGCCGCCTCGGGGTCCTGGACGAGGTCTCGGACCTGCGCGCCACGGGTCGTCGTCGGGGGAGGAGGAGGGGGAGGAGGACGAGGAGGGGGAGGAGGGGGAGGAGGAGGAGGAGGAGGAGGAGGAGGAGGAGGAGGAGGAGGAGGAGGAGGAGGAGGAGGAGGGGGAGGAGGAGGAGGAGGAGGAGGAGGAGGAGGAGGAGGAGGAGGGGGAGGAGGCGTATACAGTCGGACTTGATTGGAGAGGACACGCGAGAGGACACAAGACCCTTCCGAGGGCCACGTTGCCACGCGAATGCAGGAGGCATGGGTCGCAAGACACAGGACACGAGGGTACTCTTGATCTGGCAGGGTCGACCTACTAATCCAACTGGGGTGGTGAGATGGTGGGACTCGGGATGGGGATGGGGATCGGGATCGGTTAAACGATACACCGACGAGGACTCGGCGACGCCGACCGGAGCTCAGCCTCGGGCTGCGAGCTGCGATGAGAAGGAGCAGCGTCGGGGCGGCGGCCGTGCAGGGGCCAGGAACCCCGAGAGCGCCCTTCTCTGAGCCCTTCTCTTTGCGGCCAGCCCGGGGAGGCCAACTCCCAGCGCGCAAACCAGTGCTGTGGGACCAAACCCAAGCGGGCAAACCGACAGAAGACCAGAAATCGGAAGAGTGTCGGCTGCACGCGGGAGTGACCCTGGGCAGAGGTGGCCTTTGGTGCGCCGTTTTAGGGGGCTGCGGGGGACCAAATCCAAGCGTGCACCTGGTTACCCGCACCACCGTCGGCAGCGAGCCCGGGGGGGAAGTGAGAGGGGGCGGGCCTGCGCAGAAGGCGCGGAAGGCCTCAGGCATTCTGAGAGGCCTTCTGCGCCTTTCCCGAAGGCGCAGAACACGGCTCAGCAGGCCCGAGAGAGCGCCCCGCCATCGGATCCGGGGATCCGGCCCTGCACAGGGCGGCGCGGCAGGGCCTTGGCCCTCGGAAGGCCAGGAGGCTCAGACGGCCCGAGGCCAGAAGGCGTCTGCGAAGCCCCGCCGCCCGGGGAGCGTGGGCTCTGGATCGTGCCGCATGTAAGGAGCCGAACTCTACACACCGACGCCATTCTGAATCTCGCACAGGAAAGCGGATCCTGGTGCATACGGCATCCTGGTGTATACGTTCACCTTGGTTTCCCCAGGAAGACGGGGAAACAGGTATACGCCACACCACCCCGACGTCGTCCCCGACCCCCCAAAATGTCCAGGGACTGAAACACCGCCCGCCACTGGTGATGTAGATGCTCCAGTTTCCGAGCATGGCCGAGACGTCCGCGGTGCGGCGCGGTCCCTCCGACCAGAGCCTGAAGGGCTCCTGGCCTCGATGCTGGACGGCCAGGGTGGGGCCACTCCCGAGGTGCTGGGCCGGGACCCATCTAGGAGGCCCCGAAGGCAGGAGGGGGATGGAGGGAGGGATGGAGGGAGGCAGGCAGGGAGGAGCGAGGAGGAGGAAAAGGAGGCGGGAGGAGGAGGAGGACCCGGGAGGAGGAGGAGGAGGAGGAGGAGGAGGGAGGAGGGGGGAGGAGAGAGGACGCCAGAGCCGCCCACCGCCGAGAGAAAAAAAAACACGTAAGATAGGCGGGGGGGAGGAGGGGGGAAGGGACGCGAAGGACGAGGAGGAGGAGGAGGAGAACCAGGAAGAAGGAGAGGGGAGCACGGAGGAGGGAGGGAGGGCGTCAGCCCACCAGCGAGGAACAGAAAGACAAACAAGCTAGGGGCAGGGGGGGGGTGGAGGGAGGGAGGGCCGCGGAGGAGGCAGAGGAGGGGTGAGGAGGAGAACCAGGAGGGAGGATCGGCGGCGACGACAAGGGCGAGAATAACCCTGTGCTGGTGATGATCACACCATGGGGATAAGTAAATTCGGGCCCCGGGGGGGATAATAACAGATTTTCCTGGCAAGTCGCACGTTAGCATGTACGGTGTACGGATGTAGGGGCCCGAAGCCTGAGAAATCCTCCTCGCTCTTGCTCCAGCGGGGCCTTCCCTGAATGGGGTGGGAAGAGCACGGAACCTGAGAAATAATCTGGTGTAGCGACACCCTGCTCGCTCTGGCGGGGCCTCCCTGGCGGGGTGGGAGGGGCGGGCGATCTGTGAAATCCTACGGCATAGCCGCACTTCGCTCTCTCTCTCTCTCTCTATCTCTCTCTCTCTCTCTCTCTCTCTGGGGGGGTCACCCTGGCGCTCTGACGGGGCCCTCCCAGGATGGGGAGGAGAGGAGCACGACACCTGAGAAAGAATATGGGATAGCCACACCCCGCTCGCTCTGGCAGGGCTTCCCTCTCCAGTGCCTCTTGGCCGTGCCTGCCAGGAGGACTTAGATGAGAACGAATCCTGAATCAACATTTCGGACCTATCACATGCTATCCTTAAAACTAGCGGATTCTGGGTGGTTTTCTATTCGTCGTGTAGGAGTACTCATGGTTGCTCTGTGGGGGTGGTAATCAATGACGGCGATAAAACACGTTCAGCTGGGGCGCGGAGGGAGGAAGAAGGGGAGGGAGAGGAGAAGGAGATAGAGAACAACAGAAATAGGAAGAAGAGGAGACGTAAAGACGCGAAGGAAGATAAGCAGATAACGTCTCAAGCGGTTTGGCTGTTTCGTCCCCATCTAACTTATTTCGTTTACGGAGCTCTATCCAAGGCCGCGCGAACGGCGACGTTGGTTAATAGCGATGTTGGGAGTCTGATGTTTGTGACACCGAGCTCGCACATAACACATGTTAGGAAATCACGAACCACACCTTCGTACACTTCAAATGTGCGAATGTATCAAGCGACAACGACGCAGCGAATTGTAGGAAAGCGCGAATCACCATTGCCTACGATTGCTCTGGCCACGAACCAGTCCCACCTACAATGCCGAAACCTACATCGCCGTTACCTACATTGCCGTTCGAGAGCCTACGGTCGATGCTCACCGCGATATAGCAAGCATAACACTAGGGCACCACACGGCGCCACGAACCGTCAGGGGTGCGCCAGCTTGGGGCCTACGAGAGGGCGATGATGATAACAGTGCTGACGATGATCACAGATGATGATGATAAGGTGATTCAGTGTACGATTCGTATTTCCCCTGTTTGTACTAAAGTTCGGCCTCGCCGCTCCGTCCGCCTATTAGATAAAAGGTACCCCATGGATAATCATGCCTCACGGGATAAATTAGGCTTGCTTTATTATCGCAGGCATGCGGTTCGCCCAGGGGTGGGCATCACACGTAAGATAGTCTGGGAGCCTCGCGCAAAACACAGATACATTTGGGCGACGATAAAAACGGGTCTTGCGCGAGATGACGTAGCGACCTTACGCCGCAACTTACACGGGCCACCAGCGCGGCACGCTACGCTCGAGACTAGGGCGCATACGCGCGACCTTACGCGGGCAGCTTGCGCGCGTCTGTCGGCGAAGACGACCCCCTTTTCTTTCTGCGTCGCTCACGTGTTGCTCCCCCATTGGGCCATTTGCCCTTATCTTCGCCTCCGAGGGGAGGCGACCCAGGAGTTGCCGCAGCGGCTGCCCAGCGAGGAACAAAAAGACCAGCAGGTTGGGATGAGGAAGGGGAAGAGGGAGGGAGGGCCCGAAGAGGAGGAGGACGAGGATGGAGGGAGGAAGCCCGGGAGGGAGGCAGGGGGGGAGGCAGGGAGGGAGGAGGGAGGGAGGGAAGGAGGGAGGGAGGCAGGGAGGAGGGAGGAGGGAGGGAGGCAGGGAGGGGAGGGAGGGAGGCAAGGACGGAGGAGGCAGAGAGGGAAGGAGGGAGGACAGGCGACCCAGGAGTTGTCGCAGCTGCTGCCCAGCGCCTCCAACGTGCCGCCACCCGCCGCCCGCGCCGCGGCCACGGCCCGCGGCGCCCCCCCACCGCGGCGCCCGCCGCGGCCGCCCGGCGCCGCGGCCACGGCCAGCAGCGCGGCGCAGCCAGAGGCGAACGCCGGCGCGCGCCCGCTGCCGTGGCACCTTCGGCGACGAGGGCGAGGGCCAGGACGACAAGGAGGGCGAGGACGAGGACCAGGAAAAGGACGAGCGCGAAAACGACGAAAAGGACGAGGACGAGGACGAGGACGAGGACGAGGACGAGGACGAGGAGGACGAGGGCGACGAAGAGGACGAGGACGAGGACGAGGATGAGGAAGACGAGGACGATGAGACGAGAAGAATATATTGACACAGCGTGCTATTGATACGTTCCGGGGATTCCGGGATTTCTAACAACCTTCGCGCGGGGTGCACTTTGCGTCGACTATTGTCTATTGTGGCTGGCGCCGCTGGTCGGTCACCCATTCGCAATCGAGTGGTCGCCCGCAGGGGGCTATTTGGCACTTGCTGATCCCCCTTCTCGTTGCCGAGCGGGGGGAGGACGGTGGCGCACCGCCCCATCGCCCACCGCTGCGCACCGCGCGCCCCGGCGGATTCCCAAAGACTTGGCAGGGCAAATCACGCGCGACTCAGGGTCCGGGGATAAATTAAACAAGTCCGGGAACAATTTTGAAGATGTCCGGCCTACTTTTTGAAAAATACCAAAATCAAATTTGAAGAAGATCCGATGCATGTAGATTTCGAAACATTCCGGAATCCATATTGACAAATTCCGGATTTCAGAATTCTTCAGATGCCCAGCGCGGCGGGCGCATTCCACCCCTCGTTTTTTTTTTTTTTTTTTTTTTTTTGAACATTGCCGGGCTCCTGGTTGAAAAATTCCGGAGCCGCTTGCGCCAAGAGAAACGGATGCGTCTTCTGAAACTTTCCGGGCGGTCCAATGGGCGCGGCCGGCTGATTCACGCACCGCGCCGCGCGCGATTGGGCGCAGCGCGCGCCGCGCGTTGCGCCCGCGAACAGCACTCGAAGGGGTCACTTCGAAAACAACGCCACGGCAGCTGCGACTCGCGGACCCCCCAAGAGCAACACAGCATGCAGCTTAGAATCTCCGAGGGCGCTCCGACGCGCGAACAATGCACTGCGCACATCACGCAAAGAACCTGCGCGACGGAATGCGCTCGACCATTCGTCCCTGGAGCCCGCGCGGAAAAACAGGAAAACCTGGAAATCTTGAAAACTATTACTATAAATACTTATGTTCCGAGGAGGACGAGGGCGAGGAGCATGCGCCCGCAGAGGATGCCGACGATGGGCGGCGAGCGGGGGGGGGGGAATTGAGAAGGAGAAAACCCTCTCAGAAGGTGGCGGGGTTTCTCAGAAGCCCCTGCGGCCTTCTGAGACATGTTCAGCGTATTCGTGGAAGGCTTAGAAAGCTTCTCGGAAGGCCAGGGGACTTCCGAGCTTTCTCTGGGGAAGGCGTCTACAACAATTCTCCCCAGAAGGCTGTGGGTGACTTCCAAGCCTTCTGAAAAGGCCCGCCCCTTCTCACTTCCCCTCTGGCTCGCCGCCTAGAGCCCAGACGATGAGCACGAGGACGACGACGAGGACGACGACGAGGGCGAGGACGACGAGGACGCGCCCGCAGAGGATGCCGACGGCTGGTCCGAGGACCCGACGGTGCGGTGCTGCCGCGGCCTCGGTTCGGTCGGGCGAGGAAACAGGTAATTACCGATGCTGCCACGCCCGCGTCGTCTTCGCCATTTCTGTTGGCCTCCTGGGGGGACCTCATCGCGACGGCCGGATTCGCCTCTCGTCAGGACGCACCCAGGGAAATGCCTCGGGAGTGGCAGTTTCGGTACCATTTAATCCCACCAGCCCTCTGGGCGTCGGTGGTTTAGGGCGTTTCCTCTTCCACCCCTCCCTCTTCCCCTTCGGGGAGGGGTTTACCCCTCCCCCTACCCCCTCCCCGCTGACCTGGACAGGAGGGGCGGGGAGCGGTCAGAGCGTCCAAAACGGCCTCGGCGAGGAAGCCAAAATCATTGATTTTACTATGGTTTGGGCCCCATTTTGGCTTTCTGAAAGGGGGCAACGCTAATTAACGCTCCCCTCTTCTTTGATCGATTTCCTCCACGATGGCCGCAAGAGGCCCCCAGGATGCCCCAAGAGGCCGCAGGATGGCCCCAAAATGTCCCCAAGAGGCCCCCCAAGAGGCCCCCAGGAGGCCCCAAGAGGCCCCAAGAGGCCCCCAGGAGGCCCCAAAGAGGATCCCGAACGGCCCACAGAGGCCCCCCCGAGGCACCCAAGACGCCGACAAGCCCCTCAGGACGACCCTCTACTCGCCTGGGCGTCGTTTCTGGACGGGCTGGTGGGGATACGCGAAGCGTCTAGAATCCCCCCTGTTTGCGGCAACTCATTGGGGCATTCCATGCCATCTTGCTGACCTTTTGCGAACCGGCGCCAACCGACGCTCATCGACGCATGGGGGCCTGCCCATATGGCAACGGCGCACATGCACCGCACCATGTCTGGACTCCCCTCAGGCCACGCTCCAGCGCGATACGGTGCATAATTGTTCGGCCCCGAGGTCCGCAACATTATGCGCCGTACCGTTCCTGGTTTACATAATGATCCTGATATTTCCACCCGCGACCTCTTGATGCAAGAAAAAATAGATAGAGTGTGCTCTGATCTTATTCCGATGTCAAGCTAGACAGTCGTAGAATGCGCCCGCCCTCCCGCCACAGCTGGGCGGGCCCAAGCCACAAATGGCAATATTGAACAAGAGAGTGCAAGCATGAGCGAGCGAGAGCAGCAACAAAAATAATTCTAAACATCATCCTATACATCGCATTCTTGCTAATGCAACTTTCACACAGGAAAAGGACACGTTGCTAAAGAATGCCTTGGCAAGTTCTGCAGCAAACCTCCAGAATATTGAATAATATTATTGGCTCGAACGGTCAAGCTGCCGTCCGTGCACCAAGCAACAGATATCAAATACAAGAAATCAAATATTCTCTGCTCGAACGGTCAAACTACCGTCCGTGAATCAAGCAACAGATATCAAGATAAAGAAATCAACGCACCGAGCAACATATACTAAGATAGAAGAAATCCACGCACTGATCAACACATAAAATCTTTACCTGAGGTCTGCGCACCGAGCAACAGATATCAACATCTAAAATATTTACCTGAGCTCTTGAGGGGGTGCTTTCACTCCTCATCTGTAGATGGTGACCCAACATCACCCATCATCTGAAACTGGCAGCGCAAATCGCACGTCATCCTCACCACCGTTCACATCTGAGCCACGGCCTTGGCTGGCTCCAAGACATCGCCACATATATAGCAGTGAGGATCAGTGTACACGCACTGCTGACTTGATGATGCTGTATGCAATGTAAACCTTGATGCTCGGGTCGAGATTGTAACTCCTGCTCTCGTCTGCGTCTAGCTTGAGACACCGTCCTAGGCAATTTGCGTAGTGCCTATCCTTCGTATAGATTGTCTCATAGCTGTCGCCCTCGTACTTGCCACTCCTGACTATCGTCGATCCCACGGTCTCCAGCCACTGTCTCCGTAGAGCACTATCTCCCAGCATGATTGGTCCATCTCCCATGAACTCATCATCGTAGGTCTCTGGGTCGGCTCGTACTGCGAGTGTTGTCGTCGTAGCCTTCGGCGTAGCCTTCGCCGTCCTAGACTTGACCTTCACCGGCTTCACGGGCAACTCCGGCTTGAACAGGCTGTCGCTGCTCGAACTATCCACCTCCATCGGCTCAGCGGTGTCCTCGCTGTCGTTCTGCTTAGGCTGCATTACGTAAATGAATATGATGATGCCCGCGATGATAGAGACTACTGCCACCGCCGTAGGAGACATCGAAAGACAAACTCCAATCACTACAAGTTAACAAAGTAGAACAGAACTACAGCTTGGTCAAGTATCTGGATGGTTCTCTGCGCGCCACTCCTCTCCATCAGGTAAATGTCCGTTAGCTCTTCGGTGTAGAATGCCTCGACGTAGTCCTCGTCTTGAACCTCGTCCTTGTCGTCGTAGAAGCACTCGTCCACGTAGTTGTGCGTCTCCACCGGCCATGTAGAGATCTCCTCGTCGCCCTTCCCGGTGTCATCGCACAGCTCCTGCTTGACGTGCTTGGCCATCTTCGCGTTGAGATTGTCCACCTCCGCGGCTGCCACCTTCTCTGGTCCAACAAGCTTTCGTCCGCGTCTTGATGGTGCCCTGTCAGCAGGCCCAGGAGCCCACAGGTTTGATGTAACTATCTTCCTCGCGTAGCCTCCTGGAAGTACTTTCGTCAAACAGTCCGCTAGCATCTGCTCGCTCTTGACCCACTTGCTGCTGACCTCTTTGAGTGACTTCCGCAATATAGCCGCTTCCAAAAAAAGCCTCCGGTCCGTCATAGAAATCTCCTCCTTTGTGATCGTGTCGCATAGGCTCTTGCAGTCGGTCACCGAAATGCATTTCACCGGGCAGGTGTCGTGCACAATCTCGGTCGCGTCCATCTCCGGGTACAGGATCTCCGCCAGGGTCGACCTTGCCCATATTAACATGTCCACCGGATCCGCACATGAGTAGGCCTCCGCCGATAGAGTAGATCGCACCACTCGTTGAATCTTGGAAGACTGCCACCCAATGCAGTGTACCTTGTACTTGTTACTGTGGTCCTCGTTGATCTTCTGGTCGCCCAGCATGATGAAGCGTCCGCGTTGTGATCTGTGCTTCGGCAGATTGTCGAAAGCACTGTCGGTGACATTGATCACCATGGTCTCCCACAGGTTCAGGCCTGCTGAGAACCTGATCAGCAAGTCGCCCCGCTTCTGCATCCGCCTGATGGCCGCGCCGCCGTCCTGTAGGTCCTTCACCGTCGGAGCTCCCGGCGTAGATGCCAGTCGGGATGCCTCGAAGGCCTCCTCGAAGCATATCACTCGCGCAGCCCATTGCAGTTGTCCAACTACCATTCGTAGTCCACGATGCTCTGCATGGGTCAAGGCGCTATCTGGCGCCTTGCTGTGCTCTCTGGAGATACGTACAAACTGCACCGACTTCACGTAGGCCTCCATGGTGACGTTGATGCTGCCGTCCTTGTCCTGCTTGTAGGCCCGGCCACAGAACGTCGCCTGCTCTTTCCTCGCGTACTTCACCTCGCCAAAGACGATCTCCTTCTGCAGGTCCTTCATGATCTTGGCGCCCTCCGGGTCGTCCTGCTTGATGCCCATGGGGAAGTCATCCACGTGCAGGCACATGATCCCGATGATCGTGCCCTCCGCATTGCGCTTGATGAAGGTCGCGGGCTCGAAGCTCAGGCCTTCCCATCCAAGCTTCACGAGCGTCTCGCGTAGTGCCACATACCACGCGCGAGCTGCATGGTTGGTTGGTCCCGTAGATGCTCTTGTTTAACTTCAGCAAATCACCTGCCTTCACTCCCGGGATGTTGCGCTTCCCGAGGTTCGTCGGGATACGGAAGTAGAGTTCGCGTGTGATGGCTTTGCCTTGCAGGAAGGCTCCCTTCACATCTGCGATGACTAGGTCTAAGTTGAGGCTCGATACGATGCTGCACAGGAGTAACGTCATATGTGCTGTTACTGTAGGTGAGTCCCGTCGTAGCTTGTCGTCAAACTCCTCCTCGTAGCCTCTTCCACAGATCCTGGCTTTCGGCTCAAAGGTCGTGGGGTCCTTATCGGCCCAGACCACTTTGGAGCTCAGGATCTTGTCCGGGTCGACCTTGTCAACGGCTGCTCCCGATATGTGGGTTGCTGCATCGTGCTTGCACCGCGCGTTCCATTCCTTCTCCACCGCCTGCTGCATCTTCTTCCACTTGAGCTTGTCATCGCCCAGCGTCTTCAAGTTGATCTCCTGATGCTTGTTGGCTCTCGTCGGTTGGCTGCACATCCGCTCGGCCGCGAACGCCTCGACGAGCAGCGGTGTATCTGCCAGCTGCTTGACTGGCCCAGTTTGTGCACGGGCTCGTTTGATGCTGATCGGCACATCGTCCAGCAAGAACTCCTTGATCGTGACTGGGTGTTCCTAGCGCTTGCCCTGTGCAGGCTGCCGCGTACTTGACGATGATGTCGCCGGCTGATCTTGCGGTACCTCTGCTGGTACTGCTGCCGTTTCCTCCGCCTTCTGGCGTTCCATGTGCCTCTGGATCCTGGCAGGTACTCGAAGCTCAGCTCGATCGTCCTGAGCGTCGTCCCGCGTGGTCTGCTTGATCTTCAGGTCCTTCTTGGTGTGCTTCTTGCCCCCGCGCTTCGCCTCCTCAGGTTCCTCCATGGTGTCGTCAGTATTGGTAGGCTCCTGCGGGGCTGCTGCAGGCTGTTGGCCACCTCCTGGTCCAGCTCCAGCTTCCTCTTCCTTTCCTAGAGTGATCTCCTCGACGGTCGTGATGGGGTCTTGTGATACCACATCGTCGATGATCTGAGGATTGGCTATCCAGTCCACTCTCGAGATATCTTGAACCAGGTCGCGCGTGTCCAAATTGGAAAGCCGCCGCCTCTCAATCTTGCACCCAGGTGTCGGGTCAGGTAGAAGAGAGGCGTTCCTGACATTGTCCAGCTGCCTCAGGTCGGTCTTGCCCTGGTTGCTGGCCGCCACCGCTCCCAAGATGGTGTCCCAAGCTTGGTGTGCTCGAACAAGTCGTGCTCGTAGGTCTTCTTCCGCTTGGTCTTGATCAGCTGGTACTGTTTCGTACTCGTCGTCCAGCCTCTGACGCATTGGCATCGCGTCGTTATCGTGCACCACTTCCGATCGTCGCTTCCTGCTGTCCGCTGGCTTCGTCAGCTCCACGTTGCCCTGAGCAGGTGCTGCTGGTGCCGTCGTCGGTGCGCTCGAGGGTGCATCCCCTTGTCCATCTGCTGGCTGAGGTGGAACATCGCCCTGTCCTGGATTCTGCTGCTGTCCTGAATCTCGGTGACCTTGATGTTGCTATGGCTGCTGATCTGGCCGTTGATCTGGCTGCTGGTCTGGCTGTTGATCATCTCGTGCTGGGTTATACTGTTGACCTCGAAGATCCAGAAAACCCCCCTAACCAGCTCGTCCACGCGCAGGTCCGCCATCTGAAAACAAGTCGGTAAACTGCATGTTGGCCACCTCGTGCTCAGTCGCCCTTCGAAGGAGACTGGGCGAACTTAGGATCGGGATCCTGTTATGGATCAGCCAGTAACCGTGCTCATCCTTGCCCAAACACCGGGCAGGTCCATGCCATCGTGCATGCAGGTTGCGCTCTAGGTTATCAGATCGCCAAAACATCAATAAATCACCTTGCTGAGATGGCCCTGGCTGGGGCCTCGTCCTCGCCAGAACTGTTCGTCTCAATGCTGAGTTTGCTGCCTTGAAAAAAGATTCCGAACAGATCTGTTGGAGGTGTAGTCGGTTCCAGAATGACGCATTCTCGGCCACTCGTGAAACCGCTGCTGGGTCGTTGTCGGGATTCGCCAAACTTGCAGGCAGTCGGTGTCCAGCTCCAAGTGCCCATTGCTGTGGTGAGAAGCCTGCCGTGCTGACAAGTTGATTGCACGCGTTGGCCATGCCACGCACTGCTGCTGCAACCGAATCTTGACCACGAACTTCCCCAGCGTTGAAGACACTTGTCGCCATCTCCTTCAGGTATCGCATCTTCCTCTCGACTTTGCCCATTTGCCAGTGAGCCTCTGGGGCCGCGTTGTTGATCGCAATGCCCAGGTGGTTGCACAGCGTCTCAAACTCGCCCATAAAGGTAGAGTCCTGGTCCTGCTCCACGACGCGTGGTGGCCCAGCCCGGGTAAGCCATCCGAGTTCGAAAGCCTTCTTTGCTAACTCTGCCGTAGGTCTCGATCCGGGACACGCGTGGATCGCCACGGTGAAGTCCGAGGCCACGTCCACGATAACAAGCACCACGTGCATGTTCTTGCCTGGGTCGGGTATGATCACGAAGTCCATGCTGATGGCTTCGTTAAAATCCTTAACCTTAGGCTGAGCTGCCGTAGGTCTCCCTGCCGCCCGAGCCTGCTCTTCACGCGTCGTGCATCTGAAGAGACGTGCTGCTTGTGCCGCCCGTGGGCTAGCTCCGCCATGCTGTAGATACCGTGCCAGTGACTCCTTGTAGGGTCCATGTGAATGGCTCTCGTGCATCTTCTTGATAGCTGCTCGCATGAGTGGTGGCACCGCCGTCCATTCCGCCATCTCGATGTTCTCGCCATGCTTGCTGAAGATCGCCGCCGCGCTAGCGTGCATCGGCGCCTCCGTCTCCGAAGGGTTGGCCTCGAACTCGTCACAGTCGATGTCGTCGAAGTTGTTGGCGTACCGGGCGTAGCCACCATGCTGCTTCTCGAGGTCTCGCTGATCCCCGATGCCGTCCAAGATCGTCCTGGCCAGCTCCTTGGTGCAGTTCCTAAGGCTCGAGGCTGTTCCCTCCGGCCTGTTGATCGCGCTCGTGTGCGCGTGCTGCTCGTCACACCTGATGCTGTTGAGCTTCTTGCCGAGCACGATGGCCGTCGTCGGGAACCTCGTCGGCTTCTTGACCGGATCGCCCATGAAGTCCACCAGATTGCTGCCCTCGGCGCACTGGTGCATCATCACGCTTACGAACTCTGAGCCCAGCCATGGCATAAGCTGCCAGGCTCTTGACGTCAATGGGTTCTCCAGTAGCATATGAGCTCCTCGGCGCTTGCAGTTGAGCCAGATCTTCTTGACAAGCTGCAGGTGCTCCATGCCGATCGCCAACTTGCGCATCTTCGCGTCCTTCGGGAACATGTGGGATACGTTCGTGAACGGGTCGCAGGGGAAACTCACAATGGTCACGTAGGGGTCATCCTCGTTCAGCTGCTTCAGGACGGTCTTCTGCGACTTCGCGTCCAGCAGGTCGTCCCCGATCAGGATGCCCCTCGGCCTCGTCACTGGATGCCGCCGCTGCTGAGCTTCTGATGTGGCTGCCATGCCACCAGCGTAGAGCTCGCAGATGATGGGCCGCTGCTCCTCCGGGTCCGCCTTCAGCGTGTCTACGATCTGCTGGCACTGGTCCAGCTTGTCCTGAATCTCCGTCTCCCACGTCTCGATCTGCTTCCTCTGCTTCCGCCGTAGGATGCCCTCATCGATCTCCTGGGCCTCCGCATTCCAGATGTCGATCTCGTCGGACGTGGCTGATGGCTCGATCTTTGTCGCCTCCTTCTTCGGCCACTCCTTGAGCGAGATCGTCGGGTGCCCCTTCTCCGTCTTGTTAAGAGGCACTCCGTACTTGTTGATCGCCTTGAGGTCCGCCTTCTGATCCTTGATGTATATCACTGTGTCGAGCTCCTCCAGCTCGTGGATGCTCAGCAGTATTGGCGTCTTTGACTTCGGCAACCTCTGGAAGCGTAGGTTCACGTCAGCTCCAGAAAGTCCAGCCGTCACCTCTTGTTCTCCTTCTGCCATGACCGGGGCTCTATCATTCGCGCCTCGGAAACGCATGGATGATCCTCTCATCCGCGTGGTGACTCTGCCGTCCTCTGTGTAGCCGTCCAGTGATATTGAACCTCCACATCCACGTAGGCACGCAGTGCCCAGTGCAACATGTCCATCTGGAATAAATCCTTTTCGTGCTGCGTAGGCTTCAATTTCCCCCAGCTCCTCGCAAGGTTGCTGCCGCCCAACTCCCCCTGGAGCGTAGTTGGTTCCAGCTCGGCGTTGCGTCCACAACCATGTCGGTCGTACTCCAATCGGTAGGCGCTCGCAGGTGCTCCTTGCGATGTCACGAAGCTCCGAGGTCCTGTCCCAGGCTGCTTGGCATAGATCGTAGGCCATATTCCTGAGACCGTTCGGCGCCATCTCCATGGCGATGTGCATGAGCTGCTGGAAGCGATGTAAGGCCCAGTCCATACAGATATCCATATAGTCTCTGCAGGCCGCTTCCATGTTCTCGCAGCTCACCCACAATGCTGCGATCTGCTCGGCACGCTCTCGTATCTTCTGTAGGTCAGTCTCTGTGTTGTCTTCTTCCAGGTAGTCTGTACTTGGTCTGCTGGGCTCTGTCCTCGACCACGTCCCTGGTGTCGGTCTGCTCGTTGAGCTCACTGGAGTGCTCAGGGGTTCGTCAGATTCTTGTGCTTGGTGCTCTCCAGGTACTGGGCATGGTTCGTGTGCCTGGTCGATCCTTTCTTGGAAGTTCGGCTGGTCTCCTGCTGCTGATGCCGCGCAGGTGTTCACGATCTGCTCCTCGGTGTCGATTCTGACCTTCGTCAGACTTGTGATCCCCTCCGTCGCCACGTCTATGATTGCCAGCTGGTCGCTGACAATCTCAATGGCGGTCATGTCCACCGAGCTGTCCGCCATCAGCAACCTGACCGCGGCCGCCATTGCGAATCCAGCTCGTCGTAGAAAACCTCCAGGTCGTCCGTGAAAGCCTCGTCCTCCACGTCCGCCTCCTCGTCCTCCACGCTGCAGCGTATTGGGCCCACTCGCTGGTGACCTCGTCTTTTCGCACTCGGGGTCACCCTTCCAGTGGCCCTTCTTGTGGCACGCGTTGCACTTCGTGCGCGCCTTGATCTGCTTCAGCTTATCCCCAGCTTCTTTGCTGTCCATCTTGATGGAGCCCTGCTTGTTGATGTTGGCCTTCCAGCCTCTATTCGACTTGCTCTGAGCAAGCCGCTCCCGGGCCTGCTTGTAGTTGGGCTTGTGGTTGCGCCGTCCAGCTTTCCAGCCAAGACGTTGAGCCTCCGTCGCCAGGGTGTCGCACTCCTCCTGGCTGATCTCGTCCGGGTCTACGTCAACAACCACTCCCTCGAACTCGTCGATGTCCGCTGCAAGTGCGTCGCAGTCCTCATCACTCGGGAACACGTCTTCATCGCACGGTGCACGTTCATCTCCGAGTAGAGCTTCCTCTTCTTCGTCGTCGTAGTCCACCGGGTAGGCTCCGTATCGTCCAGCTGTATCAACATGGCTGCCGTCACGTCGTCCCAGATGTATTCGTTGTTGCATTGGCCAAGTATTGCCTTGTGCTCTTGCATGCTGATGTTCGCTAGTTTCAGTAGAAAGTATGTCCGTAGGTCCTCGCTGACTGTCGTGTTCGTTGAAAGTGACTTGAGCCGCTTGTACTCCGTCTCTCGTCTCGATATGTAGCCCTGCACAGACTCCGTTCGATTGCGAAAACCTCGGAAGAAATACTATTCGAACGCTTGCTGCTTCTGTAGTGGTGCGATCCTTTCGCACGCCTGTCGTACTGTAGTTACCAATAGTTTGACTGCAGCAAGCGGGTCATTTCCTGCCTCGTCCAAAACTGCTTGCGTACTGATCTCAACCTTCTTTCGTGTGAATGTCCACGCTCGTCCATTCAGAGAATTCTTGAGCTTCATCGCATAGAGCTTCCTGATCTTCTCCTCGCTCGCGTGGTAGCCGAGTATTGCGCGCTCCTCGAACTCCTCGCCGTAGGATGGGTCGCCGTTGTAGTGTACTACGCCCTCCTTGTCAACGAAGAGGGGGCCGTCATTGAACTGCTGCTGCTGCCTGGGCGTCATTTTGATGACTTTGATGCTACTGAGCTTGTCACTGGTGTAGTAGCTACCTTGATCGTTGCTGCTGTAGTTATGTTGCTCGCCCGGGATGTTGTTGATGCAACGATCCTCGTCCAAGCTGTTGTAAGTAATGTTTTTGAGCGTTTTGTCGATCACTGTGATCTGTTGATGAGCGCAGTGTTTAAGCACCGCGAGGATGTAAGTGAGCGCCAGCATATATGTCTGCACGGCCACTCTGTATGTAATCCTCGTGCCGTGGACTGATTCAGCTCACGCTACCAGTGTAAATAATGATCCTGATCTTTCCACCCACAACCTCTTGATGCAAGAAGAAATAGATAGAGTGTGATTTGATCTTATTCCGATGTCAAGCTAGACAGTCGTAGAATGCGTCCACCCTCCCGCCACAGCTGGGCGGGTCCAAGCCGCAAGTGGCAATAGCGAACAAGAGAGTGCAAGCATGAGCGAGCGAGAGCAGCAACATAGATAATTCTAAACATCATCCTATACATCACATCCTTGCTAATACAACTTTCACACTGGGGCAAACATCGACGACGCCTCGGGATTCGCCAACGCGGTACGGTGCATACAAGTCGTCCGCAAATCATCGGGGCCCGTGTTTTCTTGTTGGCTCTTGCGACGCGGCGCCAACCGACGCTCATCGACGCTACGATAACGCTGAAATCTGCGGTGTCCCATCGACTACCAGGCGCCAACTCACGCTAATACACTTCAGAAACGGAATTTCGAAAGCATTCGGGAAAACGCAAGACTCGGGTCTGGGGCACTTTGGGTTGCCTTACGGGGCCGTCAAGAACAAGACGAGACCCAATTCCGCTACAAACCTTCGACGGAAACGGACCGCCCAACTCCAAGATGGGCTCGTCAAGAAGCGTAGGCAGAGCAAAGTTCCGAGTCAATGGCCGATCGGGGTCGATGCATCCCCCCCAGAGCCCATCCCCCACAGTGATCGTCGTCGTCCAATTTTCGGGCCATAACTTGGCTCTCCGGCGGTCGTTCGGAACCATTCCAGCACCCCTGGATGGCTTCTGGCGAGGCACAACTGCTGGAATGCATCCCGAGGCATCCCGAGCCCACACGAACTTCGAAACCTCAAACCCCGAAGCCGAGGTTCGGCGAACTCGACTCTCACGTTTCCTCGGGGGCATTTGCTTTGTTCCGCGCATGTTGAGGAGAAGAAAGATGATGGGGCCCAGGGACACACACACACACATAAATACACACAAATCCAAGGATTCCCCCCCATACTTTCAGATATATTGTGGGTTTTCGTCTCCCCCCCCCACTGCCCATATTTTCCTACATTTTCGAAGAATCGACGATTCATTGTGTCTGTGTCTTTCCCTTCGGAAAAAAAGAAAGCTGAGTAGGAGATCGACTACAGACTTGAAATCCAAGAGTTGATTCGTTCGTCGAATCTGCGAAACGTACGCAGACTGCTCGGTAGATATGGGGCATGCTACGCATTCTTTGGTAGCCGCGACGAGAGAAACTCACTTCTGGGGCAACTCACTCATTCTGGATACCCGATCCCCTACTCGAGTGGGGTTGCTGAAAAAAAAGTTTCCCCAGGGCCCCCATGAATTGCTACCCAAGTTGGCGGCGCGCACAAGGGGGCAGGGGGAGGGGGGAGGCTTCTTACGAGGCTGCTTCTTCGAAGCTGCTGGCCTCGCATCCACAGACAAAGTCCGCGCCTTCTAAGAAGCAGGGGTGCTTCTAAGAAGCCTCTCCCCTCCCCTCTACAGGGGGAATATTCAACAGTGGTCAGAAAATAATCAGGGAACGATTTTTGTCACCATCTTTAACTATTTTTTTGGGGGGGTCCATTCTTTATTTGTCACCCCAAATCCGCCTGTAGGGGGACATGCCCGACCTAACCCTACCCCCCTCTGCGCGTGGCCGAACTCGACTTGGGGTAACCAAGAGGTACCGATACTGATACTCCCCGGACCTCTCCCCGTTTGCGTTCTGATCATGGTTTCGAGGCGCATCCAGCAGTTGCGACGAGTGCCTCCCAAGAGGCCCACAGAAGGGGAAAACGCGAGAAGGGCAGCAGTAGGGGTACCTTCCCAGACCCCCGACGTCATGATTTTCCATGACGCGACCCCCAGGTCTGGACCCATTCCTCGGGGCTGGTCTTCCATCCCGAGTCGTTTCTTGACGGTCCCGAGGCCCGGTAAGGACACCCGGAGGCTGAAAGTAGCGAAACACCTCCCGTCATTACTTTTTCACTGCGCGAGGGGGTCTGGGCTCTCATCCTCCTCCTCCTCCTCCGCCTCCTCCTCCTCCTCCTCCTCCGACGACGACGACGACGACGAGCGGTTGCCACACACGTATCCCCAGGGCCCCCTCCTCCTGTTCCTCCTCCTGCTCATCCTCCTCCCTCCTGCTCCTCCTCCTGCTCCTCCTCCTCCTCCTCCCTCCTCCTCCTCCTCCTCCCTCCTCCTCCTCCTCCTCCCCTCCTCCTCCTCCTCCCTCCTGCTCCTGCTCCTGCTCCTGCTCCTGCTCCTGCTCCTGCTCCTGCTCCTCCTCCTCCTCCTCCTCCTCCTCCTCCTCGAGCTGCTGCCCAGGGCACCGCTCGCCCTCCGGCGCCGAGGCCGGAGCGGGCGCCGCGGCGGGGAAGCCGGGCGCCCCGCGCGGGCGGCGCGCCCGGGCGCCGGCCGCGGAGGCGAGACCCTGGCGCCGCGGCCGGGTCAGCGCGAGCACCAGCGCCATGGCCGGGGGAGCCGAAGCTTAGGACGAAGCCAGGACGAGGATGCAGTCGGCATCGTTTCACCGAGGAGGAGGAGGAGGAGCAGGAGGAGGAGGGGAAGGAGGAGGAGCAGGAGGAGGAGGAGGAGGAGGAGGAGGGGGAGGAGGGGGAGAAGGAGGACAAGCAGGAGGAGGAGGAGGAGGAGGAGGAGGAGGAGGACGAGGAGGAGGAGAAGGAGGATCAGTATCGTTTAGCCGATCCCCATCCCCATCCTCAACCCCTTCGAGACCCCCACAAAATTACCACCCCAGTTGGGGATGCACACCTCGAAACCCGAAGGGAGCGGCCTTTATCCCCATCTGGGTGGGGGTGAATCGGCCAGTGGGGCCCAGGCCACGCCACTGGGGACGGGGATCGGTTAAACGATAATCGTACATTCCCAAAGATCCAATGCACTGAAAGAATCAAGGCATACATTTTTCGTACATTTCGGCCCCTCGGGGCCCTCGCTGGGCCCAGGACCGTCAAAAAGGACTCAGGATGAAAAACCGGTCCCGGGGAAACAGTGGAGGCCAGTCCATAGGAAACCTTCCACAAGGAACCCAACCATGAGACCCTAGGACGTCCATGAATTTTTGGTGCGGGAACGTCACGTCTTCCAGAGCAAAACCATCGAAACCCAAGAAACCCAGGGCTCCCTGGAGGCAAGCAAGGTGTTTCTTGGCATGGGCCTCCACTGTACATTCGGGTGGGTGTAAATCGAGAATCTCTGAGATCCAGCGGTTCTCGAGGTTGTCTCGCGCGCCTAGGCCTTCTCAGAGCGTTCCAGAGAGCGTTCTGGATCGCTCCGGAACGGATTTATCCTCGTGCTAGCCCCGTCCGAGAAAGGCTTTCCTTGGGCGTCGCTGAATGGTCGGGGGCGGCCAAGAGGGGGGCGTCCAAGATGGAGGGGTGCAAATCATGGCCAGCGGCACGTGCGCGGCCCAGGGGGGGGGGGGGCCAGGGACGTAATGAAATACGACAAGGCGCCATGAAATCTGGGGCAACATCATGGCCCACGCCATGATATCCCCCCCCTCTTTGCCACCCCCGACATGGGGGGCGATAGATAGTGGGGGGAAAAACGTGCAGTTATCGAAGGGGCATCGCTCAAATCGAGGGGGGGCGACACATGAACGACGATCGAACAACAAAAACGGGTCTTGCGCGAGATGACACAGCGACCTTACGCGGTGGCTTCCGCGAGCCACCGGCGCGGCACGCTACTTTGGAGACGGGGGCCCTGACGCGCGACCTTGCGCGGGCAGCTCACGTACCAATGTCGGCGCAGACGAATTTGAATTTTTGCGTCGCTCAAGTAGGAGGGGGAAAGAAGCGTGCACTTCTTGGGCCCTACAGGCCCTCCCCTGGACCCTGAAGGGCCCTTGTAGGGGCCCCCAAGGGCACGTTTTCTGCAGCCCTCGCTGCTCGCCCATACATCGCCCCACCATGACGCGACGCCCAGTTCCCTCTGCCACGCTGGCTCTGGAGAGGCTGGGCTGCCCAGAGAGGGGGGGGGGAGGAGAGGAGAAGCAGCAAACGACGATGGTGAAATCGTTGGCGGCGACGGCGAGAGCGCGAACGCAGGCGGGAAACCGGGGTTGGTGGGGCAGGCGGGCGGGCAGGGGGGGGCCGGGCGAAGACCGCAGGACTCTGTTAATTGTTCGTGCTAATGCGACTTAATATCGCTCCTCAGCTGTGTAGCTACACTTATCTGCTTATCCATGACCTTCGTACGTACACTTCCCTCAACTAAGGCCAGCCCCAGTACATGCGGTAACTTACTTAAGCGTGTGCTGCGCTTAATTAAATAAGTCGTACGCACAATTTACCAGCGCACAGTACGTACAACAAGCGTGGGGCTCGCCCAGGCACCCGCGAGCCAACGCGAGGATAACGCCCCAAAGGGGGAGGGTCTGGCTCTCTCTCTCTCTCTCTCTTTCGCTGTCCCTCTTTAGTTTTTACCTGTTTGTCTCTGTCTCCCCCTCTTTTGCGTTTGTTGTTTGTCTCTCTGCCTTTTTTTTTCTCTTTCTCTCTCTCTTTCTCTCTTCCCCATTTCTACCACATCCCTCTCTCTCTATGTATTTTCCTCTCCTTCGATCCTTGGTATATTCCGACACAACTATACATAAAAACATGTATGCCAATATCATATGGATCGAGCTATACACAAACCAAAATCCATCGTTATACCATAAGTTTATGGATATACTACATACTACGTTTCTGTATTCAACTCTCTTTCTCTCTATACACATATATATATATATATATATATATATATCAGAGTGAGGGGACTGAACCGAACGGTCATTCACTGTCCCTGGGTGCGTGGCTGAACGGGAATTCCGCGATGCGGATTCTAATTGTTGTTGTTGTTGTTGTTATTATTATTATTGTTGTTGTTGTTGAATTCTCACTTCTGAAGAATAATTATTGTTGATCCCCCCCCACCAGTGCATATTGTTTTTTCTCAATCAAAATGTGCCCCTCGACGCTCGCACCGCTTTTGACATGGAAAGTCTTGGTGCTCTTTGGTCCCTGGCCCCCGGGTTACGACAACAACGGCTCCCGCATTAGACTTCCTTACAATTTAGCCAGGACCCCCGCTCCCACCCGAGACTTCCTCGCATTTTATTCAGGAATCGGGCTCTCGCTTGGGACTCCTTTGCAATTTATTCAGGGTTCGCTCTCCCGGCGCTCTGGAGTCGCGCTCTCGCTGGAGACTTGCTCGCAACTTACTGAAGAATGGCCTTGAGTCGGAATGTCTTGCAATTTGCCCAAGCGCCGCGCTCTCGACACCCAGGCACCCAGTAGTCGCGCCCGTTGTGGCCCCATGTGCGTGCCCTTCGTGGCCCCGCTGTCGCCATTTGTCCTCCTCACTGTCCTACGTGGCCCAGTTGCTACCCTCAGTGGCCTCATAGTTGCCTTCTGTGGCCCCGCATTATCTGCACTTCGTGGCCCCCGCTCGTTCGCGCTCCTCGTGGCCCCATACGCATTCCCTTTGTGTCCCCGCTGTCGCCTTTCGTGGCCTACTTCGTGCCCTTCGTGGCCCTGCTGTCGTTCTCTCTCGCTCTCGCTTTCGCTCGTCGTCGCCGTCGTCGTCGTCGTCGCCGTCGTCTTCGACGTCGTGGTCGTCGTCGTCGTCGTCGTGGTCGGTCCCCTGTCCGTCCCTCTTGGGGTCGGGTCGACGGTCCGCGGCCGCCCCGCCGATCAGCGCTACCGCTGGCCAGACCGAAGGTCCGCGGCCGCCCCAACTTGCCGGGGCCCGGCCTGCAGGGAAGAAAGGTATACCCCCCAAAAGTGGTTCGATCGAAGACGAAGAGGGCGGGTATCGAGGGTTAGGGAAATACGCGTTATTGGACACTCGAGCATATAAGGGCGAACAATCTTAACATTATTATTGTTGTTGTTGGTGTTGGTGTTTGTTGTTTGTTGTCGTCGTCCCACCCGCGACCCGCCCCGCGACCCACCCGCGACCCACCCCGCGACCCACCCGCGACCCACCCGCGACCCAGCCCGCGACCCACCCGCGACCAACCCCGCGACCCACCCGCGACTCACCCGCGACCCACCCGCGACCCACCCGCGACCCACCCGCGACCCACCCCGCGACCCCCCTGGCGACCCACCCGCGACCCACCGGCGACCCACCCGCGACCCACCCGCGACCCACCCCGCGACCCACCCGCGACCCACCTGCGACCCACCCGCGACCCACCGCGACCCACCCGCGACCCACCCGCGACCCACGCCGCGACCCACTCAAAATTTTCGGCGCCAGCGGCGGATTTCTTTTGCATTCGTTCCAGGTCGTTGCAGGTGGAAAACCTGCGACCCACCCGCGACCCAACCCGCGTTCAGTGTACAAATCAAAATTTTCGGCGCCTGCGGCGGGCTGTTTTTGAATTCCTTCCAGGTGGAGGTGGGGAGCCCGCGACCCACCCGCGACCCAAACTACGTTCACTGAACAAACCAAAACTTCGGCGCCTGCGGCGGATTTCTTTTACATCGGCGACCCACGCGCGACCCATTGGCGACCCACTCCGAGACCCACCCGCGACCCAGACACAGACCCTGTTCCGACCAGGCCCGGTTCCGACCCGCCCGGTTCCGCCGACGCCCGGTTCCGACCAGCCCGGTTCCGACCAGGCCCGGTTCCGACCAGGCCCGGTTCCGACCAAGCCCGGTTCCGAACCGCCCGGTTCGGACCCGCCCGGTTCCGCCCCAGCCCGGTTCCGCCGCCAGAGGGGCGCGCAGTCCCGGCGCCTGGGGCTTTCGCGCGGCGGAACAGGGCCGGTCGGAACAGGGCCGGCGGAACAGGGCCTGGGCGGAACAGGGCCTCGGCGGAAGAGGGCCGGTCGGAACAGGGCCGCGGCGGAAGAGGGCGGGCCAGAACAGGGCCTGTCGGAACAGGGCCTCGGCGGAACAGGGCCTCGGCGGAACAGGGCTGGCGGAACAGGGCCGGCGGAACAGGGCCGGCGGCCCTGTTCCGCAGTAGTAGTAGTAGTAGTAGTAGTAGTAGTAGTAGTAGTAGTAGTAGTAGTAGTAGTAGTAGTAGTAGTAGTAGTAGTAGTAGTAGTAGTAGTAGTAGTAGTAGTAGTAGTAGTAGTAGTAGTAGTAGTAGTAGTAGTAGTAGTAGTAGTAGTAGTAGTAGTAGTAGTAGTAGTAGTAGTAGTAAGTAGTAGTAGTAGTAGTAGTAGTAGTAGTAGTAGTAGTAGTAGTAGTAGTAGTAGTAGTAGTAGTA